TAAGTTTGTACCAAATATTGGGTTAAGATCGGGACTGCCTGCGAACTATGGTAAAACTTGAATCCCGACCTCATTAATGTACTCACTGACGACCTGGCAAAGGGTATGACATGGTCTTGAAAACTTCTTCCATTCCATTACAGCGGTACGAGCCTCATAAGAGTTACCTCCCCATACCATTATGGACCCTCCCTGGTAACCTTCTGTTTCAGTTAAAGCGCATGGAGCAATTTTCCCATTTTGACGCCTGTAGACACGTCCATCTGGACCTCTTACGACTATTCTGCTCTCATCTGAGAAAAGTACGTTCGTCCATTCCTCTACAGTTCAGTCAGCATATTCTCGCGCAAAATTTAGTCTAGCTCTATGGTGTTGTGGGAGCAGTTGCGGAGAGCGAGCTGAACGAAAAGCCCTCAAAATACTTTCTGCTAGTCTTATTTTAGTGGTTAGAAAAACGATTTCTCAACACTTTGGTGACAATGAAACGGTCATCGCGAGTCGAAGTGCATCGATGTCGGGCTTGACCTGGCCTGCGGGTGTATAAGCCTGTCTCCCGAAATCGGCTGATAGCATCTCGAGGTGAGGTGCCGTGGGGTACCGGCCTAAGAGTAGCACCCCCCCATATCCTCCCGTGGGTGTCGTAGGAGCCGACAGAGGGATTATACGGAAGGCGGGCAGCAGCGCCTCCCGGTATCATCTACCACCACCTACTGCGATCCCCAAGTCGCCTGCCAAGCGTGGGGATTATGGCAACCCCCCCCCCTCATGATGGACGACAATGATGTACGGCCCCCAGTCCCCGGCAGCCCCTCTATTCCTGTCTCTGGTAGCGGGACAGGTAACGGAGGGGCAGGGGGTGCTAAGAATCTCCGGCAGATTAGGCGCTACCAACACAAACGGACTCTGGCCCTGGCAACATACAATGTCCGCACACTGAGGTCTGACGTGAAGCTATTAGAGCTGGAGGAAGAATTGAGCAAGTTGCGATGGGACATAGTGGGATTATCCGAAATCCGAAGAGAGGGCCAGAATACGGTAATCCTTGAGTCCGGTAACATGCTCTTCTTCCGGGAAGGAGATCAAAAATCTCAAGGTGGTGTTGGGTTTCTCGTTCACAAGTCCCTCGTGAACAACGTGGTGAAGATCGATAGTGAGTGGTGTACCTTATACTCAGAATTACCGAAAGGTATTCGCTGAAGGTCATACAGGTTTACGCCCCGACCTCTTCACAGTCCGACGATGAGGTAGAGGCTATGTATGAGGAGATTTCTGAAGCCATACATACGACTAATACCTACTTCACCGTTGTAATGGGGGACTTTAACGCGAAGCTGGGCGCTTCGAACGGCGATGAGTTGAGGGTGGGTCGATTTGGGTATGGGCGGCGCAACCACCGGGGCCAGAAGCTGATCGATTTCATGGAGAAGGAGGGACTCTTTGCGATGAACTCCTTCTTCCAGAAGAGACCCTCCAGGAAGTGGACTTGGATGAGCCCTGATGGTTCGACAAAAAATGAGATCGACTTCATCATGACAACCAGAAAGCACATATTCAATGATGTCTCCGTGATCAGCAGGGTGAAAACCGGTAGTGATCACCGAATCGTTAGAGGCACATTGAATATCAATGTTAAGCTCGAAAGGTCACGTCTGATGAAGTCTACGCTCCGTCCAAGTGCTGCTCATATCATGGACCCCGAAGCCTTCCAACTCCAACTACACAATCGCTTTCAGTGTCTAGCTGAATGCGAGTCTGTGGACGAAATAAACAACGGGTTTGTAGAAACAGTCCAAGCTGTGGGGTCTAAGTTCTATAAGGCCCCGCGCCGTATTAAATCTCAAAAGCTCTCAGACGAAACGCTCAAGTTGATGGCGGACCGGAGGGATATGAGACTGCAATCTTCAACCGATATGTCGGAATATGGTCGACTTAACAGACGAATTTCCAAATCGATGCGACGCGATCTGCGCTCCTATAATACTACACGTATTAGGGAGGCAATAGAGCGGAACCAAGGCTCCAAAGTGTTTGCACGAAATTTGTCTGCTGGGTCGAGTCAGATGACGAAGCTGAAGATCGACGACGGCAGGATCGTATCTTCAAAACCGGAGATTCTGATTGAGCTTGAGAGGTTTTATGGACAGTTGTACACATCATCACAACAACCCGTTGAAAGCAATGCTCAGGACACCAGAGCAAAGCTGACCCGACATCACACCGAGGATATCCCAGACATCAGCCTGTACGAGATTAGAATGGCACTCAAACAGCTGAAGAACAACAAGGCACCGGGGGATGACGGAATCACTACTGAACTTTTGCGAGCGGGTGGAAAACCGGTACTCTTAGTCCTCCAGAAATTGTTCAATTCCGTCATTCTCGAGGGTACGACGCCAGAAGCGTGGCACAGAAGCGTGGTTGTGCTCTTCTTCAAAAAAGGTGACAAGACCTTGTTGAAGAATTATAGACCAATCTCGCTTCTGAGCCACGTTTATAAGCTGTTTTCGAGGGTCATTACGAATCGTCTCGAACGCCGGTTTGATGACTTCCAGCCTCCCGAACAAGCCGGTTTCCGAAAAGGCTTTAGCACCATAGACCACATACATACGCTGCGGCAGATTATACAGAAGACCGAGGAGTATAATTTGCCACTTTGCTTAGCGTTTGTGGACTATGAGAAAGCCTTCGATTCAATCGAAACCTGGGCAGTACTGCAGTCCCTCCAACGATGCCAAATCGACTACAGGTACGTCGAAGTGTTGAAGCGTTTGTATAGCAACGCCACAATGTCGATTCGCTACCAGGAAGAGAGCACGAAACCAATCCAATTGCGCAGAGGCGTGAGACAGGGAGATGTCATTTCTCCGAAACTGTTCACGAATGCATTGGAGGACGTCTTCAAGCTCTTGGAATGGGGCGAATACGGCATCAACATCAATGGCGAATACATCACTCACCTTCGTTTCGCCGATGATATAGTCATCTTGGCAAGATCGATGGAGCACATCAGTACAATGCTCAGCGACCTGAGTATCGTTTCCAAACAGGTGGGTCTTAAAATGAACATGAACAAGACGAAAATCATGTCGAATGTCCATGTTGCACCCGTACCGGTGGTCATTGGAACTGATACTCTCGAAGTTGTCGATCACTACGTGTACCTTGGACAGACAATCCAGTTAGGTAGATCCAATTTCGACAAAGAGGTCGCTCGAAGAATCCAACTCGGCTGGGCAGCGTTCGGGAAGCTACGCGATATCTTCACGTCCAAATTACCACAGTGCCTAAAGACGAAGGTGTATAACCAGTGTGTGTTGCCAGTGATGACCTATGGCACTGAAACGTGGTCCTTAACTGCTGGCCTCTTAGAGAAGCTCAGAGTCGCTCAGCGAGGCATGGAGAGAGCTATGTTAGGGGTTTCTTTGCGCGATAGGATCCGAAACGTGGACATTCGCCAAAGAACTAGAGTGACCGACATAGCTCGCAAAGTTTGTAAGCTGAAGTGGCAGTGGGCAGGCCACATCGCTCGACGAACCGATAACCGATGGGGACGAAAGGTTCTCGAGTGGAGACCACGAACCGGAAGACGCAGCGTGGGTCGACCCCCGACTAGATGGACGGACGACATCGTCCGAGTCGCGGGCGGCCGCTGGATGCAGCTGGCGCAATGTCGTCCGTCGTGGAGTTCAAAGGGGGAGGCCTTTGTTCAGCAGTGGACGTCTTCCGGCTGATGATGTATGTATGTATCTCGAGGTACACAGAGTGTGCGAGCGATGCGACGCTGGCTAACACCCCGCATCAGCTCAAGCCACTGCCCTAGCTACATCAGTTGGATCGAGTGGCATTTTCTGCAATCACAAACAAAGAGCAAACAGTATAATTTCAAATTAAACAATATTACCTTTATAATAGAAAATAACAGGAAATGTTAACTCTGTAACACAACAGGAACAATGTAAAACGACGACTAAATTCAGAAAATCCTTCTTAGGTGACACTAATTTAGGAAAGACAATAATGGTTTAAGTGTTTTATTTTTTGCTAGAGTATCCAATATAAACAAAACATCAAAAAACAAAACAGTTGATAAGCCATAGTTGACGGAACCAAACAGGGTGATGAATGATACAGGTGGGCGGTTAATTGTGCCTGTGAGTGTATGTTGATAAAATAGATCTATTTATTATCGTATTGTTGTTATTTGTTGACATTATATTTGATATGACACCTTAGTGTAAGTTTAGAGGATTAAAACAATACAGCTGTAAAATTTATACAGTTTTCAAGTAACAAGCAGTGCGATATTAATATTATAATATTAAAATTTACTGTGAGCTTAGTGCTTTGTATCTTTCTTTACCAGACTTATAAGCAAACTACTAGGTGTTTAAAATATATTAATTGTCACCAAGCAGTGCCAAAGCTTCGTCTAATAGCTCTACATATTCTTATTGCAAGGTATTCGTTCTGGAAGGATCTGAAGTATAGAACGTCTTTATTGGTAGCAATTCTAGAGCAATTTCTGGTACGGTGAAGTCTGTAACATTTATAATCTTTATTTCGTGATTCTTGAACATCTTCGGAGAGCTGGCCAAGGGGCAGTCAAAATAATGACGAATTATACTTTCTCCATCAGACTTTTATGCACAGAATACCAGAGAGCATATAATACCACTTACATTTGGTATCGAAGAGCTGTCCTGTATCGTATACGTACCGTCCAAATTCCGAGGCATTAATATTTATTCCACTTGACATTAACTTGACTTAAAGCAGTATGTAAAAACGCTTTATTAAGTCTTCATCTACGCCTGTAATTTCAGCTGTACACTAATAATTTTCGAAAAACCTTGTAGTGTTGCCGTCATTAGTTATTTACCAGTACCTTGTTTTAGTTTTCAAAGCTTAAGTTAAAATTCCATGAATATTATCTAATAATGTAATTTTGAATAGCACTTTCGTCAACATTTTTGTTCCTATCTTTTTTTTTTCTCAATTTTTCATCTCTGTGGCCTTGCACCACAAATAGTACATACAGCACTTGAAGATATATCTGCCGCTACTCTTCCATCGACCATTGTTAAAAATGATATGTGTGTAATTTCAATATCTACACCGTTTTTGTTGATCAAGGTAGGGGAAAGTGTTGCTATTTGTGCATTAATTTCTTTAATTACACTTATAGTTTTTTCAACACTAACTGAAGAGACAAAAATCAATTGCCTACTTGATACATCACAACTTTTGATGCTGTGAAATACCCAGGCCTCGTCTGGCAATGCCCGTAGAATTTCTACTATAAAAGCTTCATCTGTTGCGTCATTAGATCTCAGTCCTGGATATATGAATTCATGATAAAATCCAATCCACATCAAAATTCCTTATTTTTTAATTTTTCGTTCTCTCCGAACTACCTTCGTAATTTTTAGAAGGCCTATCTCACTTCTCTGCTGATTTTGATTGATCTGACTCACAAGTAGGGTATTTAACGTTAACGGTGAACATCGCGTCCAAACATTCGTTGTTTTGTCTTAACCCTCTATTGCATACAGAGCCATTTTTGGCTGCTAAACTTTAGTAATTTTTTTCTACCCTAATTATAAACAAAAATTTTAAAATGTATCACAGTAATATTAGGGAGTTCAAACTGAAACGAAACGCAATTTTTATTGTCTATGGCCAAAGTCGTATTTCATTAAAACCTCACTTTTTTCCGGTGCGTACGCAAAGTCGTTCTTAGTGAAATTTACTGCAAATTTATTAGTGAAAATTAAATAGAAAAGGTAAGAATATTGATATTCAAAATATAAATAATGTTCTACAAAGCCTCTGTTTTTGATGCCTCTTACACTTTATTCAAAATATTTGTTCTTTATACTTCATTTTCATTATTTTCTACGGGAGCCATTTTTGGCTTCGCATGCATACAGAGTTCTTTTTTTTTAACGTAAACAACGAAAAATCTCTGCAAAAGTGCAAGAGCTACCTCTAAATTCAGTACGTTCAGACAAAATTGACCATTTTCCGATTCATCAAAGGACTCGTCAATTATGTCAGAATGATTGTTCTTTGCGTTCCCATATAAAATGTGAGAAATGTAATGTTTTTCTATGCTTGAATGAGAAAAGAAACTGTTTTAGAGAATTTCACCTTGTATGATGTTTATTTGTCGTGCATCGGAAGCCAAAAATGGCTTCTGTTTTTTTTTTCCAAAATAATAAACTTATTTTTCTTTTCACTTTATATTTTGTCTTATAAGCCATAATAAAGCACATTAAAACATAAAAATATTTTTTTTCTATTAAATTTAATAATTCATGCAATAGAGGGTTAAAAAAACAATCTTTTTTTCTCCCAGCCTTATTGTGGCGTTGCCGAAACAGGCTGATTATATTGTTTTGTATGTTAGCAATGATTGTTGCTATATTTCTTCTGTAATTTCGTCCTTATAATTATCACGTATATAGTTTGTTAAAGCATAAATATTAAATTAATTGTGCTATTATTTTCAATCAATATGAGACATAAATTGTAACACAAGAGGATGCAACTATTGCAGAAAAATAATTCACACTTTTATGCACGGCAAAAGCAATTGGAAGACTGTGATTTTTGGTGTTATTTTGCACTAATATATACCTAATTGTTATTTAGGATTGTGTGTATTGTGGTTTTAAAACAAGTGAAAAAAATGTATGTCATCAGAAAAAAAATATTTATCATTTCGTGGTTATGCGGTTTCTGCATCTACTGTGAACCTACTAAATTGCTTTATCTATGAGAACACTTAATACGATATAGGGCACAAATACCTTATTAAAATAACAACCACTAAATAAAAAAATACTTTTTACGTACTTTTGACTAATGTCGTATTTTAATCAATTATGTTGCTCATCAAAGCTGCAAGATTTTCTTTCTGCTAGTATATTAAAATTATATATCCTACAATAAAACATCATTATTAAAACTTCGCAAGTTTCGGCAACAGCCAAACTTTCGTTGAAACTTTGTTAAATGCAAAATTGGACATGTTATGCGATGTACGTCTCTGGTAACTACATTTATAAATAAAACGCATATTTGCTATTTCCATTAAATTAAACTGTTATTGAGCTTTCTAAAATGGTATATACTTATAATACTTGTGAGTTTTTCGTCTATATTACTAAAAACCAAGCTAAAGAAATCGTAATTTTTATTATTTTACATTACCTGTGTTTGAACGCTATTTGATACAAAATAATAACCAAAATAAGTAAAATACTTATGTTTTATAAAAAACCTATGTTTCAGCTACAGTTTGAGGTATGTGATACATGTATCTCTGAAGACTTTTGACATAAGTATTTATGGCATAACCTTGTTACGCAAATTCCCATAGTGCGGCGGACTGCGGCGGCTGCATTCGTATCGTTAGGGGATTGCAGGGAATTCACTAGCTTTAGGCAACCGCTGCATGTGTCGCCCCTATGGCGTTTAGAATATAAGATGCACTTCATTGGATATACCTACGGCAATTCGTAGGAGATTTTATCTATAATGCAGGCTTTGATATGGCATTTGAAGATATGTTTCGTTTCAATTAATTAATGTCAAATTCTCTAAAGTGGGTTTTGCAGATTAAGCGACAGTCATCGTTAATGTTTCAATTATATTTCTTAAAAATATTGTTTGACAAAAATAAAATTTTGACCCCCTGCCAAAAGCGGTTATGCTACTTTCAATTTGATTTTTGTACTTTCACATACATAGGTGCAATTTTCTCCGAGTAGGTAGGTATCGTTTCACGATACCCGTTTTTCTTAAATTTTCACACTTTTTATCCTTATTTTATCTACACTTTTTATCTACACAATTTTTATCTATTAAATAAAAGGTACTACTTTTAAAAGAAATATCGTGCGTGTGTTGTTGAAAAAATATTTAATTCTTCAGAGGTGGCTCTAAATTTTATTTCGATATTGGGACTACATATATACTATTCACTATCCTACACGATCCACACACGATATACATCGAGATAGACTAGAAATTACATAAATTTATTAAAACAATAATTTCAATATGATTATGCAAGTTTTCCTTATAGCCAGATATTGGCTGATATCGACACATAATATTTGATTTAATTTATGTACAATTTTAAATGTTGATTAATGTATGAGTGAAATACGTCTACGATTCTCATGTTTAGGTTACAAGGTAAAGACCTTTTGTTACCACATGATGCAACAAATGATTTATCTGGCTATCTTTATCTACACACGATACACGTTGAGATAGATTGTAGTCTCTTAGTACAACGAAGTTGATGAAGTAGGTACATACTCAATGATCTCGTTGTCTATCCACACACGATCTACGTTGGGCTATAGTGAAGTTTAAATTGTCGATCGGGCTAAATTATTATAGTCGATCAATGCGACAAAGTTGGTGAAGTAGAGGTACGTACTCCATAACCTCGTTGTCTATCCACACACGATTTATATCGGGATATAGTTAAATGTAAATTAGTATAGTAATAATAATTCTTTATTTTATATAAATAGGGTAGATTACAATGAAGTAGATTGATACTTAGACCTATTTAGTCATAGGTATTATGTTTAGAGCATGTAGTTTTCAGTCCTACAATTAAAAAAATATCCATTTCAAATAATTAATTACGTTATTAAATATATATAAATCAAGTAGTCTTAAGATTTTTAATTATGACAAAATTGGTGACAATTATGCTCGGTATATTTATTTTTTTACATATTTGTTTATTTATATCACTGTAATCTAATTAATAAACCTATAAAAGACCTCCGCCCGTTTTCAATAGCATTTTCTTGGATAAGTCGTTTTTGAGATAAATGTTATTTTTCACTTTTTGAAAGTTTGAAGTCGATTTTGATAATTGACCAGTACCTGTTAAATTATTTATGACTGGGTCGCATTAGATCTTGTTAAAATATTTATGAATGGATCGCATTAGATCTTGTAATACTAGGTCACTAGACGTGTGCGCCGCGCCGCGCCGATGACTGACGCCGCCGATCATGACACGCCGCCACTGACCGGTTAGAAAGATCGGCGTAAACGGCGCGGGATGGCACGAACTGCGAGTAACATTCGTTCGCTCGGTTGCTAAGCAACGTAGTGTTTTCTCTGCGGCATATGTTAATTCCGTTCCGTATTCCATATCTAGTAAAATTACTACACTCAATGACGTGAATTCAGACACATGAGTGAATTCGAAATCGGATCTGAATTTTTACAGAATCACTGGGCTGATCACTGTATTTTAATATTTGTTCATAATGAAGTCCACCGCTGTCCAGACATAAATGTGCACGTTTCATTAAATTGTTATTTAATATATTTAATACACTAGTGTCACTTTCCACTTCACTAAAAGCGTTATTTTTTATTGTTAAGTCTTCTAGGCTTTGTACCTTCTCTACATCCCGGCGTTTGACTTCTTCCCATAAGAAATAGTCCCACACGTGTGAACAATGACTCATACGTCCACACGATGTTTGCATTGCGATGATGTAGAAGCCACCCGCATAAGACTCGACGTGGTACTGGGTCTAGGTCATGGAGCTGCTGAACCGGCTGAAAGTGGTACGGATAGAGTCCGGCTGTATTAAGTAGCTTCAATACCGCGGGCTGGCTCACACCAAAGCGACGTGCCGCATCGTGGGTACTGACTCTGGGACTTCGTCTGTTAAATTGGTTGGCGCATTAGGGACCGCGGGGTTACGATCCCAAAGGCTCGCATACGAGGTATGCTCTCCGTCGCATACTTTCTCCGAACTGCGCTTAGGTTCTTGCCGCTCAGAAGATAAACTCGTACCATCTCGTAAAACTCACATCGTGATTGGCGCGAACGGCGGGCACTGCCCTTGCGCGGGAACGCGAGGGCACGTCACATCAGTGCATGCGTATGAGTCTCACTGCCGCCACTGTCGCGCGCGTCGCTCGGTCCCGAGCGGCGGGGGCTGTGGCGGAGGGCTGCCGGGCGCGGCGGGGATGCACGGTGGCATACGCAAGAGGAGACGTTTTCATTGAAATTTTATTTTAAAAAATGTGTCCATATTCTACCGTTTCAATAGGGATAAAAATATTTAAAAAAAAATTTTTTACTAATTATGGAAAAGTGTTCTTTTCAGTAAAAAAAATGGGTCATTGATTGAAACAGTTTGTAAAAAGCACATGATTATTAAAAATTAAAATCGGCATTTTCTTATTTGTTTGTAGCCTGATTATTTGGAAAAATAATAAATACATAATTTATAAAAACCACGTATTCATTTTACAAAACACTTAATTGATGACATGACGTAGGTATGAAGGAATTGTAGTCTGGTCTATATATATA